TTAGGTAAGCCGGTTTCCTCACGCTGTTTTCCTTCACCGTTCGAGCGTATGTTAAATGCATATAAATAAACTACATTGTGCACAGGCGGGGATCAAACCTACGACCTCAGGGATCTCTCTGTTTTCATCGTTTAGAGTTATATCCAATTTTAAATACTGTTCATTTGCAGTCAAAATTTGTTATTAATGACTACGCATTTATTATTTGTACGGATAATCCTCGTAACTAATAGTTAGATTGTCCAAGGTTTCTAAGTAGGTAGCGAGAACAATCAGGCGTAAAATCTCGATTTCTCAGATGACTATCGTTTGTAACCTCATCCTCCATTCTTGGCAAATGTGTCAATGGTACATGCTAACATATTATTGCAATCTAAGTAAGCGAGTACTGGTTATGCCGTTGAAGGCCCGGTAGAATGCGAGAATGACCCCAAAGCTTCTATAACGCGGCTTTTTACGAACTACTCGAGGTGGTTTTAGTGGGTTTTGCTCACCCAGTGTCTGAATTGCAGAGATTCTGGTGTGAGTCGACTCCCATATACCCTGCAACTATCGGAGATAATGCATTTCCACTTCGGATATAAAAAAAAAAGGTTTTGACTTCTGACATTTTAAACGTAGTCTTTTTTTATAGATCCCTCAGTCTTAGTTAGTCTTAGGTTTCTTTATCATTTTTTTCTTAATTGGCAGGTAGATGATAAGGATTCTGGGTCCAACTGACGCTGACTTGTATATAAGATATTCCGGTTTTCTTGCGATATTTTCCGTCACCGTCTTAATTTCGCATATTAAAAGAAAATACCATTCTGGAGGGTCCAGACTCTTATTTCATAAGATCATTTCTATAGTGTTATCTTTAACCTTATAGTTATCTGCCTGAATCATTTTATTCGATATTAATTCAGATTAGTCACTTTAGATTTAACTAATGCAAAATTCCTTGAATTATCACTTGGTAAGTCTTTTTTGCATAAACGTATATTTTAAATAAAAGTAAGGAAGCAAGTAAAAGTTAATTAGTTAAAGTATATTCAAAGTAGTTATATTTAAATTAAAAATCTGTCAAAGTAGAGAGGACAAATCGTTTCCAAATACATTTTGAATTTATGGTTATATTTTAGAGAGATGGTAATTGTTATATATATATATATATATAATATTTATTAAGTATCGTATTTAAACGAACTATACTAGAACTATTTAAGCATCTAAAACCAAGAGAAATGCGATATCACCGCTATATTTTATAGAGGTTAAAGTAGCATTAATATTTGAACTTGTTTTTCCCAACGGAGTTCGGGAACTTCTGATCTATTGCACTGTTTTCAATAAGCCAATTCCAAAGTATTTTATACTAGTGACTTCGCTCGTGAGATACGTTTTAGTAAATAGGTTTTAAAAAAACTATTATTTTAATTTTACTGGTTATGTTTATCGTCTTATTTGAAATGTTAAAGTCTAAATTTAGATTCTATAAAAAAACTATTTATAAATTTTATAAACTATGATATTATATTGCATATTATACGAGTAATACCTGCTATTAATATTAAAAATAAAATTGATTGCACAAGGGCTTTTATGTGAACAGTGTCTTTAAAATATAATATTTTTCAACGTAATTTATATTGTTTTTACGTTAGTACCTAGGTAATAGATAAATATAGTTAATAAAATGTCTAAACGCATCAAAACGAATTTACTTTATACTACGACTTTTTCTTCATAACATGGTTATTTTGGAATCGATTTCCGTAATTATATACAACGCAGTCGATAAAGATTAACATGATTCACATATAAAATATATATGAGAATGACTTAGCTACAAAATGTGCAGTGTCATAGCCGCCATTGCAAAATGGCGACCAACCAGCGCCCGTGAACTAATCCCCATTCAACTTTTATTCATTTTAACCCGTTCGTTATTTACTTTTTGCATATGCACAAACTTGATTGCGTATCTCTAATCAGGTAGCCGGAATGAAATAAAAAGCCTTGGTGTCTTTGAAATTGGCTTTTGCTGTAAAATTTAAAGTGTTTTGGCCTGAGAAAAATTATAAAATACCTACTTAAAGATTTCGCTCACGTTTTCATACGAAAAGGCTAATATAAGGCATCTCTTTATTACCATTAGGTATAAAGCTTTCACTCAAATTTCTCCTGTGTCATACAAATAACAAAGTTGCATTTCCGGTAATTCAACGTTTGCAATTTCCATGGATTAATAAAACAGAGGTGCAAGTTGATACCTTAGCATACGTTTAGCATAACATTATTTGAGTCATAATTTACACTGCAAGCTTTGATTTATTCACGAAACACTGGCAATAAATTTAGTACCTTCGGAGAGGTTTTTAAGGTGATATTTAAATAATTAATTGATTTACGATATTGATTTGGTTATTTGTGAGCTTTTAGCTTATACACATAATCATATATTTATGTCATAAAAGAACATATATAATGTCTACCCTAGACATGCCTTTTGTAGAACTCCTACAATTTCCTTTAACCTATGCAAAAGTTATGAATTGTGATTGTTTTGTGACGCTTGGTTGCGGTTTGCCTACATTGTCTTTCCAATCGTAAGACGAAGATGTGCATATAGATTACTATTGTGACTCTGAACGGACAATATAATAATTGAGTCAGGGAACATATAATGTTGGAAATTATTGTACTAATACAAACATTAAGTTATATTTTGTAAAGTGAATATAATTAATATTAAATCGTAAAGAGCTTTTCATAACTTTGTTCTAAATTAATACTATTAACGATAATTACAATAATATTGGTACTAAGTTTGTAGCACGCACCGTTGACTTATTCGACTTGAAATATGGTTGCAAAACATGAAAGTTACTTGAGACTTGGGAAAATATGTATACCTAACGCTTTTCAAAGTCAAAGTCAAAGTCAAATCGTTTATTTCAATTAGACCATCTAAAATGGCACTTTTGAACGTCAAAAAAAAAAAAATATAAAGATGATTCTAGTTGCCCCTTCCAAAAGGTAGTTTCGTGTGGAGAATAATGGGCAAGAAACTCCACACTTACTCTTTTAAAATAGGTTTACAATATTTTGTACCATTTGTTAAATAATTATATGTGAAGACAATGTACTCTTAGAATAAACTACTATACTAAAAAAGTTAGTATACATGTTCCTCACATATTTACAAATATCGAAACCTTAGAATATTAACATTAAAGAGTAATAAAAATATTAAAAAAACACAACAAAACAGTGTGTGAGATACAAAAAAAAATAATTACATTTGTAGCATTATATAAATTAAAAAAAAATAATAATAATAATAACAAAAATTAACATATTTTTTTTTAGCAAAAATGAGCAACCAATTTGATTTTGTCCAGGCTATAGAGCCAATCATAGGATCGTCCTATGGAGCAGGACCAGCATGTTTCCAAGCATTCTTATCTTGAATATAATCATCTAATTTCGATAATCCAACTCCTACTGACTGTAAATTAAAGGACAGTAGGACTTGTTTTTACTATCTGCCATTTGAACGACTTCTTAGATATATGAAATAATAGGTTCAATTCAGGACAACTTTATTATTTGTCCAGTAATAAAACAAATAAAGTTACTTGGTTTTCTACCATCTGTACTGACAGTTTTGTGTTCAATAATTATAAGCAGACACAGAATATTATTATATGCCCCAGGGTATATACGTATCACAAGTAATAAATTAATTAAAATAAAAGGTTTCATACTAATACTATTATAAAATGTTCACCTCATGGTCAATCAATGAACAATATTAAGGCGATGATTAATACTCAGATTAAAACCGTGAGGCAATAAGCTACTCAAAGGATTACTTGTTGAACTAAGCATGAATTAATTAGGTACACGAAGGATTTATAACCGTATCAATTTTCTGCATAAATCATAATTTCTGGATGTTACCAACGTTTGATCTAACCTAATTCGAAAATCAAGTGTGCAATGCATCATGTTCTTAATTTAAATACGCGAAAACTATGTCATGAACCAACACGATCTCACCAATTAGTGGTGACACTTTGACACGCATGACACAAAATAGTGTGACACTCATGACATTCGCGGCACTACCGAGCCTTGACAAGGCCGATAAAACAATAGTTTCAAGGAATTGAATGCAACATGTGCGCTGTCTTATCAAGCATCTATGTGTGACAGGCCGGCTGTGTTCTCGACATGGTCCCGAGTTTTTTAGGTGCCTAAATTTTTATTTTTTAATGAAAGTCTCAATAGCAACGCGTAGTATATATAGGCCAAGAGGCTGCTGTCTATTATATGGGAACGTATCATTTACATTGTCTATGGTAATATTCTAATAGAAAAGTTTATTGTCGCAGCTTGGTAAAACTGTTAGAAATATATAAAATGTACCTACTTGAGACAAATAATACTAACATCTGTATATACCTGTGTAGGATTTGCATAAAGTCTTAAGAAATTTACCGGCAGCTGAAAAGTAACGTAAATTATTCCAGTATCGCGTGATCACCGGACATTTGCTATCAAGTGTCAGGACTTATGTAATTTGGACACATTTTATGCAAAAACAAACAAATATACACATAAAATATATGAGCCTAAACATACAAATAATATACAAGCTCATTATAATTCAATTTGTAACGGTTAATTAGATCAATGTCATAGTGATGATGCGCTTTTCCTATCATAAAGATTTAAGAAAAACGATTGGGTTATAAGCGGCCGCCAACTTAACCATTATGCCTTATTATGGCGATCATTCATCAGTCCGACGCTGCGGCATCGATCTAACATTAACGCATGCTAATGCTTTTATAAACAGATATATAATTTATACTGTCTCCACCTTATTCAATTGATGAATAGTTTCCATTTTAGACATAAGTATTTGTTAAAGACAAAGGCGTGGTTGTATCACCTATAAGGAAAACATTTTATAGGACCGACAAAAAAGCGAGAATCGCAGAGGTCATTTATTACATCGTTATTGTGATAAATTGAATTAAGAATATTTTAAAGTACTCACTTTGACCTAGGTGAACTCGCTTCATCCACGGGTATATTTGTGGAGGGTTAGCTTGGGAACTTCCCGAAGACTTTGCATTTTTCGTGTTACTGGAACTTGAGGTGTTGGCATCATTGCTGTCAATACTCGAAGTGCTGGACGCTGGACTCGAGATATTCTGGTTCACATTGGCCTTATGCTCAACTGGCGATGCAATTGGTGTGGACAATCCTAGTTTGGTGCTAGTGTTGCCAGTGTTCTGACCAACACCGAAGCCAGGAGATGTCCTCCCCGGCCCTGATGACGTTGATAAATCCTGGGGCGATGCTACGCCTGTCGTAGAAGTTGAATCAGCGAATTTACAACTAGCATTAGCAGCTTGACTAGCCGCTGACAAAAGATTGGGCGATAGCGCCCCAGGGCTTGGGTTTGAATGCTGGTGCATATGACTTGCTGTGCTGCCCAGTCTTTGTGGGTGTAACTGTGTATAATCTATCATTGATTGAGGTTGCATGTGTGCTCCTGTAGCTGGTGTTGCGTAAGGATGCTGAGGGTAATGGTGACCGACTTGTGGCGGCGAATAGCACGCATTTGGGTATGCACTTGCTGCCGCGTTTGGGTTATAGTAATCAGCCCCTGGTGTGGGCAGACCAGGATGCCCAGTCTGTTCGACTGGTGTTCCTGTGCGTCCTGGCGCTTGGTTTCCATAGCACGAGGCTAAGGAATTGACGAATTGATAGGAACTCATCCCAGCGTTATAATTTAGGTCATTCATTGATAACAGATTATTATGTCTCTCTGGTCTCAAAATTACACGTAGACTGTCATACTTTGATGTTTACTGAATAGTCTAGTTGGACATGTTAAGTGCTGAAGATGTTCGCAGTCCGTTCAATTGTCCTCTTAGAGTGGAGCTTGATTGATGGACCTGTAATAAAATGAAACATATTAGCTGGTCAAATGCGACGCTTCGTTATGTGTGACGGAATGGTTACTGGAAATATTTGTTTTTGGCAACAAAAAAAATATCTTCGACAAACTTAATTAAAAAATTATAAATGATGTGTGCAGAGTATCATTTTGTCCGCTATACATCAAAGGAAAAAGGGAAGTCAATGAAAAGATTTGCGTAACACAGGGGGTCTATTAAGAAACAATAAATTTACATGGGATATTCTTAGTGGTACACATGTTAAGTCAAGTGCGGAAAAAATCCTGTCCCCGCCACGTGGTAGGGCTATAAAAGTGTCCGCCGAGGTTTATGAGAGTGCGGTAGAATGTGACTTCTGCCGATTTATGAACTCCGCCGGTGCATACATCTTTATGAGCAAATTAGTACTCATTGTATCGGATTTATTTGTCGCGTAACGAATGATGAATGTTCCCCACTTTTCTGTACGTGTAATTTTGTGCATTTTACGTAATAGCGATTTATTGCAAGCGCGACGAATCGTGGACTCAAAGATCTTGAGTATTTGATATACTGGTGACTTATGAACGAAAATTATACTTGAGCATAATATTATTATATAGACGATAAAATTTTAATGTTTCAGTTGTCGTAAAACATTTTGGAATTCCTATTAATAGGTTATTTCAACTGATGTTTTATGAGATCGAATTATGAAAAACTAAGAGGATTATATATTTTATTAATTCTTAAAAATATATGAAGTCCAATAGTAAAAACCTAGTATTTTTGTAATTTAATATTATCAATTTTACTAATTGATCAGTCATCTTAATGTATATTCATTGAATACCGTCGAAACTTTTAATTAATGGAGTATATAATCCTTATGAGTTAGAGTATTTGCAATTGCATTATAATACTTATCCTAAGTACACTTAAAGATAATATTTATATAAAGATATGTAATTTATTACGAGACAATACCTTATAAACTTTATTAACCAGATAAAAAAAATCTGTTTAAAGTATTAAGAGATATACCTACTAAAAACAAAATTCTATATTTGAATGTAACACAAATTGTTCCTTCGTTACCTAAACAAAAGCTTTACCGCTTCAAGGTTCAATCTAAGTTTACATAAGCTAAATATCTAACATATTCTGGAAATATTAATATATGTAAGAATCTTGTGTTACAGTGTAATCGCACTCCTGCAAATAAACTACACCCAGTTTTTTGTACCATATAGAAAATATCTCTTTCAACTATGCTTTCCTGGTTAAACGAAAATATAGGCAATTTCTAGCTCTATATAATATATATAATGTGATATTTAAGTTTACATAAGTATACCCATCTGTCTGCGTTCCTTATCGGCTCGAAAGGGAGGACCAAGTTCCAAGCAGCGATTTTACCCAATAATTGCATTTAATTCCTAATCTTCCCGTTCTGGGCGTGTGACATTCAGGCGACATGTGTTCAGTTTATTTCAGTAAGATTTTTGTCACTCCCGTCCGGTCCACATTAAATGGGCCGAACGATTTCATTGCTTTTCATTTTATTTTATATTAAGGCATCGTTTGAAATGCTTTATGTACTTTCTTATACTTTTATATTTCACATTGTTATGTTACTATCGACGTTGGTTCAGGCTTTATACAAATATGGCATATGTTCTTAATGTATTACTGTTAATTTATTGTATATCAAGAAATTATGGTAATACTAAAAATACGCAATTACTTTATGCTCAGGCTGTAAAGGTTGCAAGAGGCTGATTCGAGAAAATTATTTTTATTTTATTATTTTAATGCGAATTATAGTAATGAAGAAAACAACTTACAATCTATCTATAGCTTTTTCTCTTACTTTCAATAAATTATTATATTTAAATATATGATTTATCATTCAATTAAATATCTAATAAACAGTATTTATACTTAAAGAATTTATCGTTCAGGTCGCCTTAAAACTGTTATCTATAGGTACGTGAAGGAATGAATTGTAATATAGTAATAATTTCATTTTTATAGATTTTAACCCCTGATCAATATTTCGGAAAAATCTTACGGCGACGTAAAAATAAAAGATTTTTTTGAATTGTAGCTAATTTGCAGTAAGAAAATAGTTCTGAAAGTTCTGGTATTTTCAACCCAAATAATTTTAAAATATTTTATGATAAGGCGATAAAGTTGTAATACATTTAATCCGAATTTCAGCCAGAAACAAAATTTCCTTAAAAGATTTAATTTGCGGATACAATTTTATCTAAATTACTATCTAGTATGTTAAATGAAATCAAATGATAAAAATCCCAATTAGTAACTGAACATAACAATATTACTTCCGAAAGTGTATTATTCATCCTAAATTCGATTTCATGTAATTATTAAAGTCTGAAACATTAAAACGAACCATTATTACATTTATCAAAATAAATAAAAAATACTCACAACGATCTAAAGCTTTGAGAACAGAAACTTAAAACACTACTAACACAAACATCCCACGAAACACTTCACAAAATAACAAACTTGCGTTCGAAATTCGAATTCGACTCGCGGAAGTTCGCGTGGTGAAAAACGGGCCGTGTTTTCCCGCCGTTCGAGCGTCGTGTGCAGCGCGCGTCTGACAGTGAGGTGATCGCTTGGCTGACGGCTGGCTAGCAGCGGGCGGGGCGAGCGGGGCGGGGCACACCTGAGTCTCCGCCACGTGTTCCGCGCTCGCTACCGCTTCCGCTAGGCTCTCGTAATTGCCCTATTCAATTCACTGATGATCGTTGCCTCTTTTGATTTCGATTTATGCTAATCGATACGTTTTCTAATGCCTGATATTAGACCGATCGAGTAATTTTGCGTTTATAGTAAATTAATACGTGAGTATCGTACGTTTATGGGCATTATAGGGTACTAATCGGTAATTTAGAAAAAGGATAATGCAAAAAATACGATTGGAAGTTGTAAGTTTAGTTTCGTAACTTTACATTCATTATTTCGATTTCCATAATTTTCCGGGTAGTGCTTTGATTTACAAACAATACATAGATAAAAAATTACTACTAATGGCAGTAATAGAACCAATACATTGTTTAAATATCAATAAATCTTTTTTGTAATTGCACTCGTTAAGATCTAAAAAATCTATTTGCAACCTAAAAAAGCTCATGAATATAGTATACAGATATAACACAGTGATACAAGTACGCTTAGTACAAGTCAAAAAGAGCGGACATTCTCAATGCATCACAGGCATGACATGACGTCTGACTGAGGAATAAAAATTACATGTAAGTCCTCATAATTAAATGAAACGACTATTTTTATGCACCCTATGACAATATGAAAAATAGCTTAGAATATAGAAATTATTCAGCGGCATTGCAGATGTTCTGTTACGGTGGTCTGCATTTGTTTTACGAATCTACGAACATTACCTATCATCCAAAATGATACAGCTACTAATAAACATCGTCAATATCATAGAATTAGAATTCTCTTCCATAATGCAGTTACGTAATGACACATGAGGCGGAAATTTCTGCCTGTTTCAAAGATCTTGTTACTTAGGTCTTATTCTGTGCTTGATAACCATCGTGGATTGTTGGTCAGTCCTCGCGAAGTTTTCCTTCACTGTATAAACTGCTACACGTATTTAACCACGTGCTGATTGCGCATACAAAAGATATTGGTGTCTAGAACAAAGGATCTTACAGTCCTCATTTAGCTTTGGTTATGAAATGCTATTATGAATACGTGGTCATAGGCAACACGTGCTTACTTAAAAAATTCAGCAATGGAATGATTTTCTGCATTAGAAGAAATTGATATTGAAGAACATAAGAAAATTAATCAAAGGTACTTTTGTTTTCCCGACTAACATTTACAGGTTGAAGAAAGATGTGTCAGTTGCTGAGAGCATTAGATTATTTGATACCTTGAAGATATTACTTGGTCTTCTCTCTTCTACTCATTTAAGTTTTATTTTAAATCTTTTCATGATTGTTTAAGAAAGGATTTTTTTCTTAACACATGAAATATGCATTCCTTTATTAATGTCAGGTCGATTATTAATGTAATATGCGATTACGAAAAATACCTTTAATCTGTCCCTAGAAATGTAGAAGTAATGTGAATTGTTAGATGCGTTCAATTTGTAGTAAAAACAGTTTCAGAACATGTTCATTATTTTAATGAACTTAGAGGTAAATTAAAACTTAATGAAGTGACTACCCATGACTACTAGAACGTGCTTTAAAAATATTGCAATAAATATAATGATAGCCAAATAATACAATATTTTTTTACCTACATTTTACGATAACTGCTGAACAATACAACTGTATGAAGGCCTACTCTTAATAGAATATGTGTAGGCTTAAAATATATAATATCCAATATAGACGTGTTCTATATTATTTTAAATAGTTAGCTTTATTTTAGTACTGAAACGAGTGTAATGTTAAGTTAAGTTACTAACGCTTTGCTAAAACCTTTTTACTATTTAGTTTAGGATCTGCTCGTACGTAACGTAAAAACGTAGAGGGACATACCATTCGTTTTTTCAACGGGTTGTTAGGTATATTTTTAAAGCTCATTTCACAGCTGTAGATCTACAACCGACAATTACTGTATTTTAGAAATAGGAATCAGGCCTTAAATTTGAAAATCGAATAGATCAAACGCCAACTCGCACTTGGCTTTTAATGAATCTTGTCTGTGAATAGTAAAATATTATTTTCAGTTTTTCATATTTCAAAATTCTATCTTCCCTCCCATAATTTAAATTTGGAACAAGCACCTATTACAACCCCATATTGCAACCAATGAAAACATTATGGCATTCCAGGGTCCCGTGGGCTTAT